GTGCAGATTGAGCTGAACCGCTTGGCTGCCAGGTCCAAGTTCGACGAGTGGGCCGCCGACATTGCCGTCATCTCGGGGGGCCAGTGGGCTCGTGAGCGGCAGATAGCCGCAGGATATTCCTGCCAGCCGCTGTGCCCCCGATGCAGGGAGCAGCCTGAGACTTTAGCTCATCGCATTTGGCTATGCCCAGCCAACTGCGGACACGAAGACTTTTCAAAAACGGATTTTTTGGCCCCCCAGGCCCTCGCGGGCCTTGAGGCCCAGCCTGCCTTGTGGCTCAGGGGAGTGCTCTCGAAGGACCTCGCGGTGCCTAGGTTTGTTGAGACTTCGGAAACGGCCCAGGAGGTCCTTCTGGGAGATGGCTGTTTGGCGGATTTCTGCTCGGAGCCTGGCGGCCCTCCTGTGTTTATCTTCGGTGACGGATCTGGGGGCGAGTTCAGCTCGGATCCCAGGCGTAGGCGATGTGGCTCGGCCGTGGTGATGATGTGCCAGGACCCCTCATCGCCTAATTCTTGGGCGCCTCAGTGCGGCGTAGGACAGGTTTTGTCAGGCCGTCGGCAAACGGTTCCTAGAGCAGAGCTCCAGGCCTTCTGTCTCGCGCTTGAGCACTCCTATGGTCCGATATGCTATATTACCGACTGCAAGAGTTTGATTTCTGATTGGCACGGTGGCCGTGCCTCCTCCCCTCGGGGCCCGAACGGGGACTTGTGGGTTCGTGCTTCTCGGGCTCTCTGCTCCCGTGGCCCTGGGGAGGTTTTTCTTTTCTGGGCGCCCTCCCACATGGAGGAAAATTTGCAGTCGGTGACTTCCCCGTTTGATATCTTTATGTGCCAGGGCAACGCCAGTGCCGACGCCTCTGCGGGGGCGGTGGCCCAGTGGTCCTGGGATTGGCGCGTTGCGGCCCCCCCCCCCTCGGACTGACCTGTGGGACACGACGGCGGCGCTGGTGCGTAGAAGGGCCAGAAGGGCTATGATGCTGGCGCTCGAGGTTGAACCTTGGGAAGGGGTGAGAGCTCCGCCAGCGCCCAAGGTCCGCAAGCCCACTAAGTTTGACCAGGCGATCCGCGATAGTGCGCACAAGTTTCGCCCGTTCGCTGGTCGCTGGCGTTGCAATGTCTGCAAGGTGATTGTCCCGAGGAGCCAGGTGCTCGCTGTCGCCTCGACCCCGTGCCGCGATCCGACCCCGTCGCTGCCGTCGGATTCGTCTGGAACGCTGGGTCTGAGCCCTGAGTTTGGAGAGGGTTTCGAGGCGATCTCGGGAGAGGTGTGGTGTGGCGCTGTGAAGCTTCACCCCAGCCACCGCCTCGCCAGGATGCGTGCGTTCGGGCTGACCTTCTGTCAGCGATGTGGTTTGACTGCCACGACAGACGGTCGGTGGCTTCAGAAGGTGTGTGCCCCCCACTCGCAAGGGGGGCGAAAACCTCAAGCGAATTAAACAAGGTGTTTTTCCGTCTTATCGGGGCCCACCCGTGGCCTTGCGTGAGGCGGCGGCGCTGGATGCTGCTGCGAGAGCCCTCCCGCCACCCCCTCGTGAAGGAACTGGGGGCGTGGGTGGTGCCGAAAGGCCAATGGTGGAGAGGCCCAGTTTCGATGAGTATGTGGCCCGCTCATCCGATCGCCCTGTCGGAGAGCTGGCCAACCTGATGACGGTCAGCGAGGACGCCCCGCCCGTGGGCGAGGACGCGGCCGCTGCTCTTGCTGCCGCTGCCGCCCGCTTGCATGAGGCGAATGAGTTTGAGGGTGCCGCCGCCCAGCTCAGAGCCCAGGGTCAGGGGCAGACAGTCCTCGCTGGTGCTCGTGTGCAGGGGTTGGGCAGCGGGGACGTCGATAGCGGTGACAGCGACTGAACTGGCCACGTGGGTGGCATCGCAGCATGATCCAGCATGATCCTCCTCCTCCTCCTCCTCCTCCTCCTCCTCCGCCTCCTCCTCCCCCTCCTCCTTCTCCCCTCCCTCCTCTTCCTCCTTCTCCTCCTCCTCCTCCCTCCTTCTCATCTACCCTCCTCCTCCTCCTCCTCCTCCTCCTCCTCCTCCTTCACCTCCTCCTCCTCCTCCTCATCCTCCTGCTCCTCCTCCTCCTCCTCCTCCTTCTCCTCCTCCTCCTCCTCCTCTACTGGAGCGACGCGGCTCGAGACTTGAGCCAATCATCCAGGCGATACCTGCTACAGTCCTCACCAGTGCACCTTTTCGCGACAGTATCTATTGGTTTTGTCACGTGCGATGGAGGTGATCACTCGGTGCGGCGAGTGCAGGGACAAGCTGACCCGCGTGACGTGCAAGCAGGAAGTTGAGTGCGACAATTGTGGTGAGATGATCATTGGTGGATCTCGCCGGTGCGTGCGAGGAGTGCGCCTTCCACATTTGTGGCGCATGCCGCCCGGACAAACGTGACCGTCCGACGGGAGGTACTCCAGCGAAAGACATGAAGAAGGTCAAGGGGAAGGGCAGGAAGGGTGGGCATCGAGTCGGCCAGGAGGAGGGTTACCACACACCGGAAAAGGAGGATGAGGAGGACTTGGAGACATTCGAGTATCAGGATTCAGGGGGTTGGGACGGGGGGCTCATGTCGAGGCTCGACAACATCGAGGGCATGGAGGACAGGATGCTATCAAAACTGCAGGAGCTGGTCCCGAGGATCGCGACCCAGGCGATTGGCCCTTTGAAGCGCGAAGTCGCCGGGCTTCGGGAAGATCTCCAAGGCGCTCAGAAGCAGGCCGAAAGGGCTTCCGAGGCTGCGAGTTCGGCCATGGAGGCAGTGCGCCAGCTACGGGGGGACATGGAAAAAGTTCAACAGAGATCGGAGGGGGTCGGGAAAGGCAAGGTGCAGGCAGCAGGGACCCGGGCGGTCCAGATTATTGTTGGTGGTTTTTTCGGAGGATTTGGGACAGCAGGAGGTGGTAGAGAAGATCGAAGAGTTTTTGGCGGTGGGCGACAGGAGGGAGAAGGTCGAGGAGGTATTCACTTTCACGGACCCCGCGAGGATCGGAGCGATCGAATTCGTCCCGGTTGCTGCGAAGAGGGGCTTCTACAGGAGTATCCGGGGCCAGCCCAGAGATGTCAGTGGGGGCCACAAGCTGCGGTTCTCGGACAACCGCACCCTTATGGCGAGAGGCCGGGACCGGGCGTTGGGCATGATCAAGCAGTATTTGATCGAGGACGCCGGGGAAGACGCCAAGAACATCAGGATCTTCTGGAAGATGGGCATCGTGAAGTTGAACGGCAGGTTGGTGGCAAAAGTCTCCAACGAGTCGTACCTCGACACACCTGACTTGGAGGCGTGGAGCACGCTCAAGGAGGTGGTCCAAGGCCACGTCGAGGAATGGTTTGAGGCCCGAGGAGGTCGCCGAGACGAGGAGGACGAGGAGGCGGAGTAGGGATTGGCAAGCAAGGCCCTAGGGGCGAGCACGCGCACCTCAACAAGTTCATTCAATGGCCTCCGGGGAGTTGGTCTCCCTATGCATGCTTTTTCCGGCGCATCTATCCCAAGCCCGGCCTTTACATCTTCATCCACATTTGTTTCTTCCTCAAGCTCTTCGAACTCGGCTTCCACGAATTCATCTTCATCTGCATCTTCCTCTACCCCTGGATCCTCTTCTCCGCGCGCCACGACGGCTCTATTGAGAGCCCCTTTCTTGGACAGATTCTCGGGAGTGGTGTGGAATTGTAGGTCTTTGTATGCTTATGAAGAGCCAGATGCAATCCGAAACACAATTTCCTTATTGGTGTCTCGGGATTTTGTTGGTCTGACGGAAACTCGGGAGAATGAGGAAAGAAAATGTGTTTTGGCAGACTATTTGCCCACGGATGTTGAATATTATAGTCCGTTCTTGGACCAGTTCAAGGGCGGCATATCAATGCTTGTCAAAAAGGCTTTTCTTGCAAAATTTTCGTCTCGGCATTGGGTTGTTATCGAAACAGGGCGTCTCGGAGTGCTGGAGCTGAGCGGAGCCAGGGGTGTTTTGCACGTGTACGTCGCTTATTTCGACCCGGGCAATGACGATTCCAAGGTTGCTCTCGTGAGGAAGTTCGTCGAGAAAGTGCGCCCTGCAATTCGCAGCATCATCATAGGCGATTTCAATTTCGTTTGTTCTTGCACCGACAGATGCGTCAAGGCTACCGGTACATGGTCGACTGCAGACCGGCATGTCGCTGAGGTGTGGAGTCGACGCACTCGCGCGTGCAACTTTTTGGAGTGGGAGCAAGATAATATACTTTTGAAAATGGTTCAGTATTATCTCGTTTGGACAGGGTCTACTCGAATATCCATCCAAGTTGCTTATTGTGTTTGGAAAGCTATTGCTGTGTGTTGGACCGGCCGCCTGCTCTGTCAGACCACAAGCCTGTCTCATTTGGCTTGCGGCCCAAAGCGAGGAAGCCACCGAAATTGTTCCCAGATTGGGTCACGAACGACAAACTGTTCCACTCTCAATTGATCGAGGCGGCCACTACGTGCTTGGAGGACCCCAGCCTTTTGTATTTTGCCAAGCTGAACAATATCAAGCGGATTGCCAAGTCAGTGGCACTGGGCATTAAAAGGGCCAAGTTGGGGCGGACAACTAACACTTCGAGCGAACTGTTGTCAGCTACAGTTGCTTTCCTCCGTGCTGCTTTCACTGGGAACACAAGAACGATGCAACGCATGCAATCTGTTTATCCGCGAGTTCGAGAAGTCCCCGCCGTGCCAGATGCAACGGCACACCCAGGCTTCGCTGCTATCGAGGATCACGCCATGGAGCTGTCACAGAGGGCGGTGTCGGACAGACTTGAGATGTTACGCAGGCGTCGGGATTTTCTTCCTGAACATGTATACCAACAGCGCAAATCCAACATTTTAACAACTCTGTCCAAGCTCGTTCCGGGTTCAGCAAGTTCTATCCAGGCTGTCCGAGATCCTCATGGAGGCGGGATTATTTCAGACCCTGCCGGCATTGCTCGGGTGTTATCGCAGCATTGGCAAAGTGCATTTGACGTGCAAACAACGGACGGGGCGCTGCGGCAGAGGTGGTTGGATCGATGGCGCGGGATTTTATCTACCAGTCTCTCCGACCTCACACCGACGATTGAGGACGTGGACGCGGTGCTGGCCGACCTTCCTTCTTCGGCGCCCGGGCCCGATGGGGTGCCATTTGTGGTATTCGGCATCGCGCGCGCGGTTCTTGCACCGCTGTTTTACGACATCGTGTTGGGAATGCTACGGGGCAGTGCCGTATCTCCCGACGACTTCAATTATGCTCTCCTGATTTGCTTACCCAAGGGTTATGGCTCGGCGTTCCCAGACGGCGCAGAATGCTTCGAGGCCAGCAACACCAGACCCCTGTCGATTGTGGACGCCAGCAACCGTATCATCGCTTCCATTTTCCGGGTAGTCTTGGACCGCTCTGTGGCTCCACGGATTTCGCCGACGCAGCGCGGTTTCATCCGAGGGTGTCATATGCTCCGCAATATCTTGGACATCGATTTTGCGGCGCAGAAGATTTCAGTCACTTCCAAGAAGGGCGCGATTCTCCTTTTCGACTTCCGGGCTGCATTCCTGAGCATCGATCACACATTCATGCGGGAGGTGTTGTCTGCAGTTGGATTACCCATGGAGTTCGTTAACATGCTCAGAATGTTTTGCAATGGCAACAAACACAAAAACAATGCATGGTCGCAGTATTTCAGCAGCATCACTGTCAGGAGCGGCGTTCGGCAGGGACGCCCGCTATCGCCACTGTTGTTGCAATTTGTGCTGGCGCTCTTCTTCGTGAACTTTCGATGCACCTATCGGGGCACGAAGTGGCGAGAGCGTTTGCCGATGACACCGCGGCAGCAGTTCGCGACCGTTGGATATCGATACCAGTGATTGCAAAGCTGTTCACAGAATGTGAGTCGATTTCCTGCCTCGCGTTGAACACCGAGAAAACGGTGTTCATCCCGTTTTGGAAGTACGCATCTGTGTCCAACGTCAGAGCCCTAATCCGGGAGTCAGCGCCGGTTTGGCGCGACATCGCGGTGTGTTCAGCGGGCAAATACCTCGGATTTTGGATTGGACCTGGCGCCGGCCTCAAGTCGTGGGAGAAGCCGGTCGACAAGTTTTTGAGCAGAGTGCAATGTTGGGCCCGTCGACACCTCGGACTTTTCATGTCCACGCTTGCATACAATACGTTTATTTGTTCCGTGTTGTCGTTTAACATGCAGTTGGAGGATACCTCAGCTACCTTGGAAGAGCTCGTTCCTTGGGCATTGCGGCGTCTTGCCTATGGCCCTGGCTTTTGGACCCTGCCCGAGGATCTCTACAGCTCGAAGGAGACGTTCGGCTTCAAGTACTCCTTCACGAATATATATTGCGTCGCCTTGGCAGCGAAGCTTGAGGTCATCGACCAAGTGGCGCCAGACTGCCGCGAACGATGCCAAGAACTTGAACAGTTGGACGACAGATTCCTCACTGGTCCGTTTGGCATGTGGCATGGCAATTCTTACTTTGCGCGCCTCGCTCGGGCTGAACATTTTGCTGAATGCTCCGGAGTGACTCGCCGCAAAGTCCGCGCACTGGCAGAAAAGGCAGCCCAGGGGCTGGCGTGCACTTCCAGGCCGTATTGGAGGGTGAAAGAGGGGTCTGCAACAGGGGGTCTTCAATGGGGGCTGAATGGCCCATGTATGCTCAATGTATCGCTCATGTATGTGATCGGGTACGATTGGCATCCAATGCTGGCGGTCATTGGTGGCCAGTCATTCGTGCCCGCGCGTTGCCCGCGCGGGCACACGCGCCGTCCATCCATTATCGTTCATGCGTGCGGGCGTTCTTGCATATTGCGCGTGGGTCGGCGAAGTGGAGTGCAAGTGTGTCTTGATTGTGCGGTTGATGATCGCGTATGTTCCCAAACGATGACTTCTCGACCCCCAAGACAGATTTGGAATGGGCCCCGCGATTCTCCCAAAATGTGAATTCACATTTTCCTTTTTCCCAGAATGTGAATTCACATTTTCCTTTTTCCCAAAATGTGAATTCACATTCTGGCCCCTTCATAAAGAATCCCACACAAAATTCCAAAATGTGAATTCACATTTTCCTTTTTCCCAAAATGTGAATTCACATTTTCTTTTTTCCCAAAATGTGAATTCACATTTCGCTTTTCCCCACAATGTGAATTCACATTTTGCCCTGGCCTTCAAGATCCCCAACGCTGAGGCGCAGTGTTCCGCATGTCAGATTGGCTGGGCAGATTTCGACACTCATCTGACCGCTTTCGTGTGTTCCAGCCTTTATTTTGCGCCCTTAGCGCCCGTTGCCTTCGTCGCCTTTCCCGAGCCCCCCGCCCCCTTGCTTCCTTTCCCCTCAAGTCTCGCGCGCGGGTGCAGGCGGGGGGCTTCAATTAGTTCCCCCGCCGAACACAGCAATCGAGGATGTATCGCCCATTCATGACTCTAAAAAACATCATTGCCGGGACCCTGCGCCCGACCCCCATTTTCACCCTCCAACCGTAGCTGCTGATTTGGTCAAGAAAGTGCTGTACCCTCCGCCAGCGCACCGTCTCCCGCACAAGCTGTGCAGGCGGGGCTTTGGGGTGCCTGAAGACGTTTTGGCAGGCCGGGTCTCGCGGGCATTCCAAATCGTGCATTCTTGGTGCCCTCCGAGGGTTGCGGCGCCATATTTACGTACGATTTACAACGGTTGGGTGACCAAACGTAGGATGAGACATGCTACGGCTACGGCAGAAGGTGCGGACGGGGTATCACGCTGCTTGCTTGGTTGCCGGGCAGGGTGTGACAGTGTCGAACATTACTCTGTTTGCTCTGTCGTTTGGAGTGTGTTGAATGCGATAAGGCCTATTGGTTTAGGCGTGGATCGGCGACCTTCAAAGCTTACGTTTTTTCTTCTCGACGAGGAGTGCCCCGATAAAGACGTTGCAGGACTTGCCCTGGCGATCTACGGGGTGTACCGCACCACGAACCACGTCCGTTTCCACGGGGCGCCGAGGGCAGGCTCGACTGGGAGGCTCTTGCGGCGATGGATCCAACGAGGCGCTGAGAATTCTAAGGCGCGTGCTCTGCTAAGCGGAGCGTCGTGACGCACCGGGCGCAGGCTTCAGGCACCAACTTCATCGAATCAGCGAGGGGTGTGTGCACAAATCTCTCATGCGGGCCGTCCTGCTGTAACGTTTTTGTCTTGCGCAGGCCTTGCGCAGGCCTTGCGCGGGTAACGTTTTTGTCTTGCGCGGGCCTTGCGCAGGCCTTGCGCGGGTAACGTTTTTGTCTTGTGCAGGTCTTCGGCGCTAGCACACCAGCCCCACTGGGTGCGAATTCTTGTCCAGCAACGATTATTTTCAGAACGTGCTGTAAGCCACCCTGATGACTTTCGGCGCTCGTGCGGACGGTAGCGCTGGGGGAAAATCCTCTACCTCCGCCTCCTCCTCCTCCTCCTTTTCCTACTCCTCCTCCTCCTCCTTCCCCTCCTCCTCTAACTCCTCCTCCTCCTCCTCTCCTCCTCCTCCTCCTCCTCCTCCTCCTCCTGCTTTTCTTTTTCTTATTCTTCTTCTTCTTTTTATTATTCTTTTTCTTCTTCTTCTTCTTTTTCTTCTTCTTATTCTTCTTCTTCTTCTTCTTCTTCTTCTTCTTCTTCTTCTTCTTCTTCTTCTTCTTCTTCTTCTT